CGCGGGAACCCCGGCCGGCCCGGGGTCCCAGCCCAGCCTGGCACCATCTGTCCCGGGGCTCTGACGCAGAGGCAGCGCCGCCAAGGTGGGTTCCCACTGACCTGCTGCAACCTCCGGGCCAAATGGGCCAGACCTGGAACCGGAGACAGATTCATCAGTGCTGGAGTCTGGATGTGACGGAGGAGGCTGGTGGACAGTAGTGCAGCTCTGGACATGAGTCAGAATGAGCTGAAGCAGTGGATAAACTAAGAGCCCTTCTTAGGACAGGACGCAGCAGGAGAGCTGGTTGCTCTGCAGACACTGGAAACACTCAGTTTAGGAGTCATTTCATCAGATTACTTTTTGTGTCCATGTTCGGTTAGTTAGACACTGACGAGTCTTATTATTTCAAATTCAACCTATTTGCAAACTACTCTTCCAATGTTAGAAATGTCTGATGATGTTTAACCCATGAACACACAGATCCTTCACACATCGACTCGCTTTGGGCTCATTCATCACTGCAGCACAAAGCCACCTCCTCTATGAGAAACAGGAGGACAAGGAGCTCCAACATTACATCAGGCCAGAGATTATTTTAAAAAAACATTTTTAACAGTTTTTTTTAAAAACCAAAGCTGGTGAGAACAAATCTGGATTTTTTGGGGCTAATCCTTAAATGCTATTTTAATGAAACATGACAAGTGTAGCCTCAGATTGACTTGTTTTTACTGATGGCAGTGAACGTCACACATGGTTAAAGATGGACAGATAAACATCCAACAATCTGTTTGTTCTTCCAGTTTCTTGCTCTGATAAACGGCGTCCTTCAAACGCGCCTGTGACCTTAATTTTACTTTTTATTTGAACTTATTTTATTACTTATTATTGTCATTTAATTAAAGCTCCATACAAACATGGCCACTCTGTTACTAGACTACACCTCTTCATTAGCCAATAACAACATGTTTAACTTCATCTGCAGTGAGAAATGGTGGAAAGAGAATTTCCTAATTAAGTGCATCAAGTATTTTAAGAACACACCCCGACATTAGATGCTAAACTAGAGGGAGAAAAGCAGCAACATGTGGCTTCCTGATTGCACAATAAGTCAAAGTGCTGAAGCCGTGACCACCTGTGGTTTATGTGCAGCTTTTCTCAGACGCTGCGCTGCGAGGTTCACAACAAGCTCAGCCTCCCTCTGATTGGGCCTTAATGCTCGGCTGTCGGCCAATCTCAGGTCTGCGAGGGCAGCAGCGCCTCGTCAACATCTAGTTAAGTGAAATTACTGATCTTTGAATATTCAAAAACGACTCTCAATGAGCGCATTTCTGGCCCCAAAAAATCTGTGAAGGTGACCTGAGGACCTGTTATTGATCAGGGCCCGCCTGAACGGGGATGTGCGACCCACATGAACCAGCCTCTAAAGACAAGTCGCTGCACTCCACCTCATCATCCCTGATGACTTTTCCCTCTCCATCATAACAGCACCTGGAATTGTGACACATAAATCTTATCAGCAGAGACAGTCTGCAGGTCCCGGGGCAGTGCGGCCCGGCTTATTGCTTTCTCCCACAGCCCGGCCTTGCTTCTTGCCCCTCAGGCCCGGCTCTAATGGGCGAGCAGGGGTCATAAAGTGGTTGTCTTACTGTTTTCCTTTTTCCAAACCAGTGACACCAGTTGTTCACCCTCCTCACCGGGGCCTTTTGTGAGGCCTGACAGGCTGTCAATTCCAGGCGGAGTACGACTGTAGAAGACGACACGCTTTACCTTGAGGTGACACCACATTCCACCGAAGGCCTGTCTTTATGAGCTAACAATAACTTTGAACAGCTTTGCAGCAAAGCATTAAAAGTTTGCTTTGCTGCTGCATTCTTGTGTTGCACAAATGTGGGAAAGAACTCGTAGAAAGAAAGCGTAGTTGTTGTGGCTGGTGAACGTGAGGGGTGGTGGAGCTGATTCAGAGCCCGCCGGTGGGTTTGACGTACACTTTCTGTCTAATCAGTCACCAGGCTCGAGGAGTGATTTTTGGCCGTCATCAGGGTTGAGGGTAGGACAAGAAGACCTTCACAGTGACACATACAAGACAAGACTAAAATAGACGGCCACCCACATACAGATACAGTACAGCCACACACTGTAAAGAGGGCGTCACTCTGAGAACAAACTACAGGACAGTTTGTACTTTTGTCTCCTGGTGTCTTCTGCCAATCACCGATTCAGACGCTGATAAAACCTTAAAGTTGGGCTATAATTCATGATTTATGACATACGACTCAGAACTTGACTGGAACAGAGACTATTCTCATCTTTATGTACACAAAGTAGGATTCTGTTCATACTGTTGTTGGATTTCTAGTTAGATTTACCAACACAGGTCAGAGGACTGACAGCTGAGCTCCAGGCTTCATGCTGGTCCATCAGGGTTCCTACAGGGACAGGCATTAGGGGGAAACCAGAAGAGCCTGGATAGTTCATGTTTAAGGGGAATAATGAAGACATCGTCTGTACTCATGGGCCCGGTTTGGTCTGCTGTGTAATCTGTGCACATACTGCCCCCATGTGGTGAGCCAGCGGTACTGACACCAACAGCACAATAACTCCAGTATTTAAAGACGTCATACAACAGGTTCACCTTCAAACAGGAATATTTCTAACAGGCCCATGAAGGACATCAGAGCAGCTCAAAATATCACGCCTTTTAATTTAAGCTATTTTAGCAGCTTTCTGAGCCTCGTGTCTCCGAGTCCAAGTGACGGACACGAAATGTTCAGGAGTCACCAGAAACACTTTTCCTTCAGCTCGACTTTTTCTAACAGCAGCTTTGAGCATCTTTATCTGGGATATATCCTATATATATACGTATATATGTATCGTAGTCTCGATAGCAACAACCGAAGCACTTTACTGTCTGACGTACAGACATAGAAACTATTGGATGTGTTTCTGGTTTCTGATCGTTCACCAGGGAACATTTGTAGAAGTGCATTTTGGGTAAACTTTAACGGCCATATCTGCATGTTGGATAGATGGTTGGTAAAAACAACTTAAAGGACATTAAAGGTCTCCTTCTTACCAACTTTTGATGCTCAGGCTCATCTTCTGAACATGAGTCCTTCTGTGTCAGAACATTTTTATAATATAGGAGAACATATATCTAATCTAAAACAGGCATATCGTCCACCAGCCTCCTCCTGCAGCAAAGGGCCTCAACCTCAACCACAAAACGTACTGTCCTGATCTACTCCCTCATGTCCAGACCACATCTTCACAGCGCTGTCAGTGTTGGAGAACGGTCTGGCTGCACCTTCAGAGGACATAACTGTCTGATTTGGATTTCTGTCAACCAATCACAAGCGTCTTGAGCAGTGCTGAGCCCAGGCCGTGGCGACGGTGTGCCTGCACAACAGCATCATGGGAGCTTGATTCAACTGAAGGATCCAGCAGGCCTGACTTACTGCACGCTGACCTCGGCTGCCGGCTCAGAGGCTGGGCTGCTGTGTTCTGGACCAAAACGGGATTTTCAGAGATAGCAGAGGGGAGAACGCCACGAGAAGTGTGTGATGAAAACGGCAGACCTACATCCAGTGAATCAGACTTTTCATTAGAACTGGAAATCACCATGAGAGGAAAACACATGTCAGCCCAGACATGAAGGTGTTTCTGCTCATCGGGCTTCACAACAGTCTCCTCACGCTGAACACGCGTCACCCTGACGACAGCGTTTTGGGATTCATTACAGAGCGCTTTAAAGATGTCGGGCTTGAACGTGGACTTCTCACTGACATGATCTGTTCAGTGAGCTCACCTGTGTCTGTGTCATGGAGCTCACCTGGAGTCTGCATGTTCTCCTTGGGCCCGCGAGAGGTTTTCTTCAGGTGCTCCGGCTTCCTGCCACAGTCCAAAGGTGTGCACGGTGGGTTGATTCTGTCCAGGGTGCAGCCCGGCTGTTTGGAGGACGGATGCATCGAGGGGCGGCTGCTGTGAACAATCAACTATTTAACGGCTGAATCTGAGTCTGATGGAGGAGTGCTGGTGTTTAGCAGGTTGGGCAGATCCACCTTCCCACTAGCATGTGCTCCAGTGTGAGTGTGCATGGGACAGTGTTGGACTGGTTTGTTTCACATTTCCAGAACCAGTGATGTGTACAAACAGTGCAAAACTACACACACACAGAACACCAGCAGACTGTGAGCGACATGATTCACCAAACTCACCTGAAAAATAAAAAGTGCTGCCCTCCTTTAGTTTCTGATGGAAACGTGAACGTGTTTATCAGAATGACTGGAAGTTCTCATTTATGGCCAGCAGAAGGACGCCCCTGACCAACATGAACATGACGGGACTGACGGGCGCCTAGACAGCGTAACAGATGTACCGGTTGGTGATGGCTTCGAGCGTACACTGATCAGTCACAACAATAAAAACCACTGACATGTTTGTTCCAGAGGGTGGACGTATTAAACAGTAAGCTGACAGTCGGTTCTTCAGAACTGGACTATGAAGCAATGGAAGAAGCTGGCCTGGTCTCAGGATGGAGAGGAGCTGGCAGCAGCATGCCCTGTGGGAAGAAGGCACACTGCTGAAGGCAGAGGGAGGATCTGAGCAATATTGTGCTGGGAAACTTCAGGTCCTGCATTCTGTGCATGTGGGAGGTGCTGCAGGAGGACCTACTCAGTGCTAGGAGGTGGTTTTAATGTTGTGGCTGATCAGTGTATAGAACAACAGGTGAAGTCCTCAGAGACAAGGTTCATGCGTTCTTGCAGTCTTCTCCAAATACATGGCAGACTGGAGAGGAGCAGCTGTGCCTGCAAACCCTCCTCCTGTCCAATGAGTTCAGTGATCAGTAACGATGTAGACAATGAGTCTGTGATCATATGAATGTAGTTTGTAAATGAAGGCTGGGGCCTGTTTCTTCAGACTAAACAGTAAAGAACCACGTTCACGTCCCATCACTGTTCACGTGCCACCCTCATGGTTAAAGACTCCACGGTTCATAAATAACACTCAAACCTTCCACCTTGAATCTCAGAAATAACATTTTAACGTTTATTGTCACTCGTTTACAGAAATGCAGGCGCTACTTCGGGCCTGGACCTCACCGCCGCCGTCAGCACCAGTGTTTAGGTACCTGCTGCTTCCTGACACGAGTTCTTCTTTGTGCTAATCTCAGAGAGAACTCTGAGCAGGAGCACCTTCATGTATCACAGAATCCTGCAGCCACAATATGGACTAGTTCTGTTAGAACAGAACCATCTTGACAAGTTGATCCATTAAACTATATATAAACACAAAACTAATGTGACTGCTGTGTGGCATTAAGTTCTCTTTTACACTTCCTGTCATTCATTCACCTGCATTCTTCACACTTCAGTCCAAGCACACCTGCTTCACTCCCTCCCAGTCCTCAGCTTCTCCTCCACCGTGTGATCACCTCGCGAGCCTCCCATGCAGGGCGGGCTCTTCGCCAGGCTGGGGTTCCTCCCCCACTGCTCGGGCGTCTTGGCCTGGATAGCCAGGGCATGAACGCAGCTGCTCAGTTCCTCCTTCAAAGCCTCATTGACCAGACGGTGGCGCTGAATCAGCGGCAGACCGTCGAACCGGGAACTGACGACCAGGACGCGGAAATGGGACTCAGAACCAGGAGGCACGGCATGCATGTGGCTTTCATTGTGGACCTCTAGGTGGTCCGGCTTGAGCGAGCTGGTCAGTTTGGTTCGGATAGCTTTCTCAACAGGCCGACTGGGGTCCGGGTCCATATGTGTTCTGAAGTGGGCCAGAGGCCGGGCTAAGGCGAGACAGGTGGGGATGGGCCGAGTGCAACGGAGAACGCTGGGAAGCATCTGATGTTGGTGCAGGAGACCACCTGGGGAACCATGAGAGTACAAACACAGAGGACGGGTTACTTTGTGATCAGTGAAGCTCCAGAGGTCCAGCTCCAGTCTGATGCAGCCGCAAGAACAAAGAACAGCAGCTTGGATCTCTGATATTCAGGCAAAACCTGTCTTCATGTTGAGTTATTCTGTGCCTTTGTTAGGATTTGCAAGTTATCAGTTAAAGTACAACAGGACAGCATCCTGGTTCCATGTTTCCTGTCTGTCTGATGGGGACATGCGCAGTAGACATAAACTGTTCTCCAATCCTAAGCAGCATCACAGTGTTTATATAAAAGAAACATAAACTCGTTTACTGACAAGTGTTCTGCTCATGAGCACAGAGACAAGTTCCAACAACGTGCCTAAAACTCAGCATTATAAAGGAAAACGAGCCTCTTTAGCTGCATCGGACTGTTCTGGTGGAGCTACAGCTAAAGCTACGGCTGTTACCCCAAACCAGCTAAACCAGTAAACGAGCCCCGAGTCAGCCAAAGAAGACGGTTTAGTGTCCGAGTGTGTCTGTTTGGTGACATGACTTCCAGACAGGTGAAGTGTTTACCTGAAAGCTAAACTCCAGCTAGCTAACAACCCGAGCTGCTAGCTGCTAGCTTAGCTTTCATAACAAACACGGGGCGACATGTTGGCAGTTTGTCTTTACAGCGAGCAGCTCCAGAACATCTACACCTCCATCTGTGGTTCATCATCCACCTGAACAACAGCTGACGGAGGGAAAGTCAGCTGGAGTGGAAACGGAATGACGCCGCTCACCTTGTAAGTAAAGTCTGTTGCTGCTGCTGCTGCTGCTGCTTCTTCTTCTTCGTTATTGTCGTCAGACTTCTTCTTCGTTCTTCTTTATCGGTGTTTGATGGTGACATGGAGCATTACTGCCACCAACTGGTGGTGGTAGTAATAACAATAATAATAACAATAATAATAATAATTAAAGCCGCAAGCGGCGATGGACGGGTCCTCGCACTTACGCTTGTCGGCCTTCGCGCACGGCGGGACTGTGATCCGGCATGTCGAGTTTGGGGCAGATCGGAGCAAATGTGGCCTAGTTATGAGCCACTTCCTGTTTAGTGGCGAGCCGCGGC